CATGGTCGTGCGATCTACTAAGACGCGATCCAACCGACTCCATGTCTACATCTGGCATATCAATCTACGTTTCGGGTGGGTAAATAGCCGATCGCTCGGTGTTCATACGGGCCTGTTCTAGCTCATATTTATTCATGGCTGTTCATAAATAGGAATTCACCTGATCTGATTACACCATGTTCATAAATGAACTGCGCCTCCGGTGGCTTTCCCGCTTGCGCCTCTGCCTCGTTCCGTTCAAATTTCTTCCGCAATAGATCCGCGCCCCTTGATCCTGGCGACATCCGTTGGATCTCGAACGAAGCATTCGAGTCGTCTTCTGACTCCGCTGAATCATAACGGGACGATCCAGTGTGTTCATCCTTGGAGAAATCGTTGATCGGTGTGAGAACTTGATCCAACGTGACTCGCGGCGTGGTCCGTTTATCCGTGGTGTCGATCGGCGAGTTCGGGTTGTCTCCACGGTCCCGTATGACAATGAGTGGACTCAACATCTTTAACAGCGACTGTCCGGCAGCGATCACTCGATCGTGGTTGCACTCACGTAGAGTTTGCGCATTGAACGTTCCAGTAGTGAACCTCGCCTCCGTTAGTAGATTAATTAGACACCGCAGCGCCTCCAACACGTTAGGAGTTGGTTTGGGTGCTGATATCGGTCCGCTTAGCGATCCGGTCAGCTTCGGCTTAATCGTCTTCAGCACTGCACCACTAGACAACAGCTTCTTCAGCTCCTTCAAATGATATTCCTGTCTGAATTCGTCGAATCGCCAATCTTCAAACTTCACTTCGCGATTCACTGACTGTGAGGCTTGATCCATCTTCTCCGTCTTGAACTTGTCTCCTTCTTGCCTGTTCTTGTAGATCTCTCGATCTTTTATCACCGCAGCCAGCTTCTTAAATTCGTCCGAACTCTTCACTTCTTTCTTTGTCATTTCTGATGGTTCGTCCGATATGAATGAAAATCGTTTGGGTATTCTCCTAGGACTTTCATCCTGCAGATCGTGCTTTGCAGCGCTATCTGCAGTGGCCCCCGAAGAGACCTCATGAGGGGGTTGAGGTTTTTCTTCACGATCGTGCGACCGATCTTCCTCTTTTATTTTCTTGTCGTCAAATCCCCTCTCAAAACTTTGACGATTTAAAGATCCTTCATTCTCACGCGTCTGCGACGATCCCTTCTTCGCTGGCGCTTCTATCCCAGTTTCAGTCTTGATCCTGGCTTCTTAGTTTAGGGACTCACGGTGAAATCCTGAGTCACCAGAAGATCCGGGCACGCGCACCATTGTGGTGGAGTAGTGATCACAAGTCCCTTGTGATCCCGACTCTCCACCGGCTCCCGGATTACCGACTGACGGAGGGGGTACCCCGATTTCGTGCTCTGTGTAAAGTTGATCACCTTGTGTACCCCTCGGTGGTGCGGGTTGCGCTCTTCTTGGTTGACTTGAGTTGTAGCTGAACTTGACCGTTTTGGGGATAGGGGTTGATCGGGTGGAAATTCTTCACTCGATCGAAAGTACACTTGGGCACTCTCCCATAGTCGCGTGTATCCAAAGGTGATGCTTGATCCGCGAGCCTTATGACCACTTGAGACTTCTCGCGATCTTAAATCTGAACCGTTAAGCTCCCTGCGTCCGATCGCAGTTGGGGTGAGAACTGATGTTCCGCCTGGCAAAACAATCCAAAGGCGAAGGTCTTCCAGACACAGACCGCTATCTACTCGATGGGAGGCCAAACTTCCTGCCCGGGAGAAGTTGACGCGTGTCTTTCGTTGCAAACTCAATTCTTTTTAATGTCAACCAACCAAATCCAGAACCTATGAATATGCCTATCTGTTCTCTGGATCACTTATGAGTATCGCCTGTCTATGTAATTTAGCTCGTGCATCATGTGATCCACAGCAGATATTCCGTAGTGGATCGCTAGGTGGTAGATTGCTCAAATAGTGGATCACTCGGGGTGGATCGCTCGGGTAGTGGATCGCGGTGTAGTGGATCGCGGAATGTGATCCACACCAATTATGTGTCCGCACATTGATGTGTCCACACAATCAAGCATTAAACACCCAGGGTGGATCGTGATCAATCTCTCGAGTTTCTGATCGGGCATCCACCGTCGAATCGCCGTTACTTCTGAGACCTCCCATGTTTGATGATCTTAACGACCCACTCCTCCAGCTCGTTTCCATATTCACCTATCTTCCATTGTCGTTCGCGATCCAGTACTCCAGTTGATGTCCACCCCTTGAGCGATCCGGTCCTTGTAACTTGGTGATTCAAGCCCTTGATCGCGGATCGTGATCGGTCAGCCGTCGATCCTTGACTATACTCCTTCTGGACTGTTAGGTAGACCAATCCGCATAATTTCCACAGTCATTTTCTGCCACTCAGTCGTTTGATCCCATCATTCGTGCCGACGGGCCTATCTCCAAACGCACTCCACCAATCAAATTGATCCCGCACATAATGCGGTAGCCGCAATCCACACTTTTCATCAGTATTCCCTTGCGCTTCTCCACAGGTTTCAACGTACCGACAGGATGAACACTTCCCAAGGTTCTACTCGCACTTGGTCTCGCCACGGAACTGTGTTTGACGGGGAGGGCAAAGGTGTTTTTTATCCCTGGAACAGACGGGCAGACTTTACAAGTCGTTACTATAAAGAACGACGGCGACGTGTCACATGGATCGCAACTTAAGTAGTATTCGATTAAGTCCCATCCTTAAACGTCTTTTCCTATCCTTGCCAGGTGAACTGATTCCTTTTTGTGACGATTCAGGAATTGCTAGATTTGTAGGATCGCGTCTACCAATGAGGGACCGCGGTCGTCTTCCGTCAAAACCGCTTAGCTGGTTTCTTGAGCAACGGTCTTCCTTTTAATTATTCCTGCGGGTCCTTTTTCCACGAATCTCCAAACCTTTTTCGATACCCCTTCCCCTTCGAGAACCCCTTCCCGGAGGGTGGCCACTTGTCCGTCCGTTGTGATAACCTCTAAGTCTATTGTTCTCTGGAAGCACTTCATCACACTGCCGTAAGCAACACTGAAATTTTGACACCATTTTTATCTGTAGTGCTTTGACATCAATTGCATTTTTGCAGTTGTTTATGTCCATGAGAGAGCAAGAATTCATTCTCCACCGTGGATGGGTCCATCGATTCGATACATCTTCCACTCTGTCGCCTTGGGATACGATATAAACTTGGTTTAACGTGATGTCTTTCATACTGAAGTCTTTCTGTTCCGCAACGGTTATCGCTTGTTCTAGAGTATTAAGTCCAAGGTATAATCGATATATCTTGAATGGATCATTCGCTTGATCCTGCATGAGCATGAACAACGTAATCAACATGTGTTCATGAATCGGGTCGGTCGCGAAGCAACCCGCAAGGCGGTGAGCGTACTGATCGCAAGTGTGCATCTCACGCTTACACTGTATGACTTTCAATATCTCGGATAGAGCCCGAAATCGGCTTACGGCTGCCTAACAGTCTATCTGAGCCGGTTATCGAAGACATCTGACGACCGAAACGCATATGACTTGTGAAGCATAGACCTTAAGACCCAAGTTTTGGCACGTCCTGTCAATTTGACGCGGCGAATGCAACCGTCGTACCTTGGTCGATGATGCGACGAGCTATCCTGGCGTTGTCCAACTCGACGAAACATCGTAACAGGAATGCTCCCTCGACTCTTATTTACTTGGATATGTATATCTTCAAGATTTAGGGATGACTTGCGTGCGTCGACCGGTATCAGTATCCTGGTCTTGCTGCTGTCTCAACATGGAACCGAACTGTTGAACATCCTGTTCTCTCAACAACTCTGCCTGTTGAGAACATTGCTGGTGAAGCAAAATTGGTTTATCCTTCGCCTCATCAAGCTCATGATAGACGGACTTGGCGATCGCTGTATGTTGATCGTCCCCTTTCAGAGTGAACAACATGGCATTGATGGCACGCCTGACAACGGTCGAAGCCATCCGCTCGACTGCCGCCGAGTCTATATCATGTGAATGGGAGAAGTTCTCACGCCATGCATTAAGACTAGCTATCCTCATCACATCCAACATGTTAATGTCGGATGGAACGTCCGTGGTCGTTAGACGGACCACGGAGTGTTACCGGGTGAAACGGGGTATCTATCGCTTGTACTGAACACAGAACAAACTATCTACATTGACACAGTGTAGTAGATGGATCGAGCCCTCACGTACACTGTATGTGCAGAGGAAGGCTTAATCTCCTGAGCGAACTCGTGCAGGAGAAGGAAAAGTAGAACTGTATTTAATAAAGCTCAGTCTCCTAATACAACCCCTTTTGATCTTACTTTGACTATGTCGGATTACAAACTCCAAATACAGCTACTCACTTGCCATCGATCGCGCGCATCTAGCAGCGATATAGCTAGACACGTGTGATCGTTGAGCTGGATATGAAATGGCCTGTACCAATCAATACATAGAGCGGTGCCGAATACTACCTTCGACGAAAATGATCCATTGATGTTTACTCAGACAGGTAAGTTTTGGAGCCTATTATTAGTTGTGAGAATATCGACATGAAGCCAATCTGGTGTCAACTTTGCTTGCAACAGGCTCACCCCGTTACATGCCTCGGTCAGCAACGCAACCTTTTCATTCTGCATCTCATATCCTCTCAACAGCAACGACATGTATTGCTTTAAGTTATGATAAACGTGTACTACCGACGAGCGTTATTCGAAGACAGCACATACCCAAACTTTCTGCACCGGTGTTACACATTGATCTCCTCCCAGACGACAGCAAATCAAACGCTTTAGCCTTAATAACAGCAATATCGACATCAATATCAAGTCTGTTGTACCGCCCGCCTACTTGGCAAGACGACGCGGTTGCCATTGCAGGCATGATGTACCCACAAACTACTGCCGCGGCTGACTCCCCACCGTATTGCAGCACAATACGCGTGCTCGTCAATGCAGTCTCATCGTCAGTCAACTGACATGAACTCCACGTTAGTGCGACTTAGTAGTCAAACTCGTCTCGCTCCGTGTGGTCGTCTTCAGATTCTCGCCGATGGCGCCGCGCTCCAATCTACGAATGTGAAAAAGACATACGTGAGCTGTTCCATTGAATTTGAAGGCACTAGGAAGAAAGCGTCATTTCCTATTGCAATGACGTACCTCGTTCAGGTCGTCACTGTCGACCAGAGACTCGTCTGACGACTCTTCGTCTGGATAGTCATTAGCTGCATTGTCCTCGTCATTCGAATCCTCGCTCAATCTACACACAATGCAAGTCATCGGCAATAGCTAGTGTCAGATAAGTCATGAATGAGCAACCGTAATGCACATCCGCTGCCCGCGGCGTGGCAAGCTCCGGATAGGTGCGAACGTCACGCACACACGATAGCGATTTGATAGATATCGGTACAAATTTGCGTACCCGTCGTCTTCTTCATTGCTGTCAATGTCGGATTCCAGCATGTACTCCTCTACTACCTCATCACTCGGCACATCTTCCATGAGCCATTGTTGCACCTCCGAACTTACGCTGACAATTGGTACGCCATGCACACTGGCTCGTTCAAAGCCATTTTCTGAGGGAGTCGCTGCGCCACTCGCAATGCTGAGTTCTTTGCTCGCAGAGGTGTCAACGCAGTATACGTCGTACACGTAGTCTTTTTCGCGCTCCACGTCTTCACACGCAAGCAGCGCTGTCTCCACGTTACGATGACCGCCATGCTTTGCAAACGCGGTCGCAGTAGCACCTGTCCAGGCTTCTTGCAAAACGCAGGTAGAATCAGAGCGCAGCAGCACTTCGATCACATCACTACGTCCATGCAGTGCCGCTGCCATCAGCACCGTGGTTCCATCTGCTGGCCGTTGAAACGCCGTCGGGGATGCACCGAAATCTGATCGTTGGGCGTGGTAAATTTGGAAAAACGAGGCAAATTCATTCGAGCGGAAAGCCGCCCAAATCGCTTCGTCCAGCTCGCGCTCGTATGGGTTCAACACCCGCATGGCTTTCATCCGCGTGCCGTTCACTGTCACGACATCCGTCTCGCTTTTCTCCACTTCTGCGTCTACTTGCTCATTCGTTTCTACGCCCGAAGTAGCTGATAACTGTAGATCCACCAGTCGAATGCCATGTACTTCTATCGTCTGTTTCTCCGTAATCCTCACCCTTGGGCGCAATCCTCTTGCTTTGAGCCTCTCTTCATTGCGTAGCGCTTTAGATCGACTTTGCTGCTGCTTGACGAGTTGTATTGTCGGCTTTGAAGCTGTCAGATCGGTTTGGAACGCCGACGCGACGGCCTTCTTGGCCATCATCGCGGCGTGTTCGTCTTTGAGAGATCTCGCCTTGCGTTTCAGTCGCTCTGTCCACTTGCCACGTCCTGAAGTGATTGGATCATCCATCGTGTCAATGTGCTTGAAGACAAAGCGTTGGTCGGTCGTCGACAGATTGGTGAACGCCTGCAAAAGGTCTGTAGACCCACATTTGACTCGTTTCGCGTCCGGTTCGCTGTACACCACTAAATGATCCATCCGTTCGTCGGTGCGCTTGCGCTTGAGCCTTAGAAAGACAAAGGAAGGCTTCTCCTTGGCGTCGGCGTCCAAAGGCGGAGTCTTGATGTCGGCCTTGTCCGCCATTGTGCCGGGTCGATCACTCGCGTCGAATGGTGTGCTAAGTGCTACTTAACGATTTAAAAGCAAATGTCGAGACGAATGGGTTCGTTGACAGCACGAACGATTGTGTGAAATGGGTAGATTCTATCAAAGTGGTCCTAAGGAATTGCATTTAGTTTGGCCCATGTGTATACTATTTGAAAAGCTACAGAAACGACTCGAGCTTCTGGTATCTGGACGAAGCTTTTTGATTCGCTAGCTGCATCTTACTAGACTGGTCATAGCAGACTGTCTTCTTTTTGTTCAGTCACTTCGTTACGAGTTCATCGTAGCTAGGGGAATGAAACAGCTTGCAAGCTTACAGTTTAGTGATCTTCCAAATTTGGCTTACACCAAATGTTCGCAGACCATGCCACTGCAGATCAGAGCTACAGAAACCATAGTCATCCGTCATCCGATATTGGACAATGACAAACGCACAGCATGACGGGAACGCCATGGATGTGAACGCACAACAGGTCCAACGAACGAATACAAGAATGTCTTCAGATAACACCAGGTCGTGTTCTTTTAGCTCGTCTGACAGCAGATATGCAACAACTCCATGGTTTACCTCCAGAACACGCGTTGCTTCGACACTCTTCCTTCTTACGAGCGGTAGTCGGCGTTAATGGCCACGTACTCGTGGGTAAGGTCGATGCCCAGTACCTGCGTCGCTTCCGATCCAATGCCCAAGTCAATGTCAACCTGCCGTTTGTCACGAGCGCAAAATAACGTCGGTTGGTACCACCATCCAGCATCGACAGCAACATCAGCAAGCACACACCTCAACGAACTTTCCGTGTGGCGGGTAGTTGTGCGAACTAGCGTCGAGTCCGCCGCGCGTAGGCTCGATCAGCATGGCGTCACGCATGTGGGCCACTAGTTTAGCCTCGATGTCGTCGTTCAGCACCATTTCCCCGTTCTCGAAAATAAGCACGCCGCCCATATAGACCTTCATCCGGCGCTGAATGTTTACGTCCTTGTGGTGGAGACCCATGTACTTCCCCACAGCCATAACAAGACGGCCCACGTTCGGGTCGTTGCCAGCTACTGCACACTTGAGCAAAGGCGAGTTCACCACGGACTTGCCGACGCCTTTGGCCATCTCTTTCGTCAATGCGCCACCCACGCTTACCCGAATAACGTGGTGCGCACCCTCACCGTTCCGCACGACATCTTCGCTAAGTCCGAGGCACACCTCGTACAGTGCCTTTTTGACCTCGTCCAGATGCTTCATGTCAAAGGGGATCATGTCCGACGACACAAGCGCTACTGTATCCGACGTGCTCTGATCCGTATCGATACTGAGGGAGTTGTACGTATCTCCGACCACTTCCTTTAGCAACTGGCGCAACACGTCTCGAGGAATCGACAGATCTGTGTAACACCATTATGACACCTCCGGTCACCAACTGCATCACCTCATACCGTGTCAAACACTTTGCTTACCCGTGAGAATGTACGACAGCATCGTAGCCATGTCGGGTTCAATCATACCGGCTCCTTTGGCAATGCCGACGATTCGGCCGCCACAGACGTCCATGGAGCGCACCTTCGGGTACAGATCTGACAGCAACAGATCCAATCTCCCGTCAGTTCAAAAGTGCACAAACGTAGCAGCTCACCGCGTCCTCATCTCTGCCCGCACCAGTAGTCATAATCCCCTCCGCAGCAGGTAGCACCGAATCCGACTGAAGATTATTGACGAGCTTCGGGAGATTTGCCACCATGGCGTCCACGGGGATGCGCCAGCCAATGACGCCCGTCGAGCAGGGCAGTACCTGCGAGCCGGCTTCCAGCCTCAAGTGCTTGGCCAGGCTCTCGCAAACCTCCTCAGCGTCCGTTATCCCACCGCCACTGGCGCAGACGTTCGAGATCTTGTTGTTGATCAGAATAGCGCCGAGTTTCGGCTCCTGCAGCCGCTTTCGACCCACGAGCACTGGCGCGCCAGGGAAAGCGTTCTGCGTGAAGACAGCAGCGAACAGCGACGTGGGCTTCACGGGCTTGATGAGCGTCAGCGTCATCTTGGCCGGGAGGTGGGGCGCTTCCTGCGGGACAAAGTCAAAATTGCTGGTGGCCACGGAGAAGCCCCACGGCAGACGGCTCTGGTGCGTCTGCAGGTACTCCATGTACTCGTGACGCGACTCGAACACAAACGGGTGGCCATGTGTCGACAGACGACGCGTCTGCGGCCGCGAACGCAAGCGTATGAGCGATGGACAGCGCAGGAGCGACATGGCTACGCGGGATCTAGATCGATGAGGAGGACCAGCAGTCAATGGTTAGCGCGCTTTATCGATTCTGACCGTAAATTTGACCTGCGTCAGTGAGGGGATTGCGGGTGCGTTAGGCGGAGTACTTATTGCGAATCAGAGAGGGACCTTTATTGCCATAAATAGATTGTGGGGCTCACGATAAAAAGCGTGGCGAAAGACCGAGCTAATGTAATCATGATCGATGGCAGCAGCTCACTCGTAACAGCTTCCGATCATTCATCGCGTATTCCGTATCATCTTCGATAGATTGTGTCGTCATAAGGTATTCAACAACCCTGCAAGGGTTTTGCTCGTCGAATTGTTTCGTAATGTACGGGCACAGAACCATATCAGGTTACTCAATAATACTTTGACTGTGGCAAACAACGTGTTCACATCTCTTCCTCCACCAAGCCAACCAAACGCCCAGAACAAGACAGGAAATGCGCTGAAATACTGCGTGTTAGAAACCCCACGTTATGTTGTCAAAGGTACTCGACCAAATCGATGCGATAAGTGAGAATGGTATGCCAGAGCTGACTGAAGGCAATTTTCTGCTGGAGGGGCATACAGGCAGAAGATGAGGAGCAGTGCATCAGCTTGAATGGGGTACTCATCGCAGAATATTGCCAACACTGAAAAGATGTAAGTTGTACGTGATGCCTGTTCCCTGCCCGATGTACCGCAGAAGCGTCACTGGGCTCCTTATCGCGTTCTCCGCGACTTGTGAGCCTGACATCGCAACACGCACCGCATTCAATGCATTTTATCACCTGTAATGGGAGTCGGTATCTTTCTGGCAACCTAGATCACCCATGACGGTCGTCATTGTTGACGCGCATTGCCACGAGCCAAAAGCGAGAAAACTCGTCTTGTGTTAATGCCCTTCTTGGCTAAAACTTACGACCAATAACATTGCGACCATCATTTCACTAGCTCGGTAGACGCCATATCAACAGCTTACCAAAACGTATGACTCGATGGAGGGCACTTGTCGAAGCCAGCGCTGGAATATAGTCCATGGACAAAATTTGGGACGTGACGTTTCGGACACACGCAATTCGCAGTCCCCATGCCGCCAGCCGACGACGACTCGGACGTGCCGCTGCCGCCACCGCCTCCGTTCCCTCCTCCTCCACAAGCGCGATCGGAAGACGATTCGAAGCCGAACAGGCGACCGCTACAGAGCTCTGGTCAGGTGCAAAAGCCCAAGAAGAGAAAAGATTTTCGCGAGATCCTCGCGCTCTTTCATGACGAGTCGATGGACGCCGCGCAAGTCGAGCGCGTGTGGAGCGCTTTGTGGCAGACGACGCTCGTGGAGAGCCAAGAAGACCACAAGCGGCACCATCACCAGCAGGAGCAGGAGAATCGCAGTTTGAAGCGAAAAAAGAGCGGCGACCGCGACCACGGGCCTGTGGCTGCGCGAGACGCACTCGCTCGTCATAGCAACTTGGCCAAAGACTCTTTCAAGAGAGCGCGACAGGTACGTCAAGTGTCCTGTGACTATGAAGTGTCAATGGCCTTGTGAAGTGTCGTTTCGTGCTGACAGGGCTTTGTATGTCGCAGAGCTCTTCAGCAAGCACAGACTCGTCCGAGTCGGGGAAGGCCAGTCGTCTGGGAGGACGCTTTTCCAAGAATGTGTCGAAAGGGCCTAAAATGTTGCAGAAATTCGGCGGGCGGACGTAGTATGGATGCAGGTTGTGAAAGGTGTTGGTCGGTGACGAGGAGAGTATGGTACGGGCTACAGGAAGCTGCACGCACGGACTCCTCGTTCAGAAGTATCAGGCCCTGCAACAACCAGCGAGCTGCAAGAGCTTGTGCCACTTGGTCGACAGAACCGAAGTGCAGCCTCGTTTTGGCGCCTTTCCTCGCTATCAGCCATTTCCAGGTCGTGCGAGGGTCTACTGACACAACGTGCTACTTATGTCGCTGGAACAGATATACGCTCGACCCTCTCGCTTGGAAAGATGCGATATATGTGGTCCATGCGCCGGGGTCGTTTGTAAAAGATACGACCAAAATCGCTCTTCTGCATCCTGTGCAACACCCGTTGGCAACAGGACACTGCGTTCAGATTTCACCGCCAAAGTCATCATATGTTGTCCGACAAGCTTGTTGTAATTGCAGTCTTCGCCGCTATGGAAACGCTCTACAGTGCTCCAAACGCTCATCATGGTGCCACATCATACAGCGCTGGTGATACAGAAGGTTGATGCACAACAAGGGTTGATGGTGGGTACCGTGCAAACAAAGAGCAATTACGTCAGACCTCTTCTGATCGTACTTCCCTTCCTCACCACAAGCCACTGCACACATACTACCTCTTTCATCTATCAATACCTAACTGTTGCAGCTCTTTCCACAGTTATGCTCAGCACTGGTCCTCACGTCAAAAGAATCGATGGCAACTGCGTTCGAGTCACACATGTTTTCTGTCTTGTTCCGAACTACTCAAGACGTTTGCAGCTGCGAATGAGCTCTCAGCGTGTCAAGCTACTTTGCATCCAGTGCAATGGTGAGAACGGATAGTAAACTGACGTGCACCGCAGTCTAATCCAGTGACCTGCACGCCCATGACGTCAGATGTCCAAAGACTCAACACAATCCAATCGCTCGCCTCAACACAATCCAATCACTCGCCTCAACACGAGAGGAATGCCTAGTTCACTAAGTAAGCATCGAGGAGGACCGACATAGTGTGTGTTCAGCGTTTTCCCTCGTACATCGAAAGGCCGGGAGACATGAGAGAGAATGAGATCAAAGGGGAATGCACGTGCGACAAGTAGATGCCTACTTGTCATGGCTGAGCGTATCGTCAATAATATTACCAATGGACACCTTATGTCCAAGCATTGGACCGAGGATGCACAAGGCTCGACATACTGAGCATGGGCAGGCCGAGCCAACTTCGGCACGAACACCCACGCGCACTTAGCCTTCTATCGGTTTCCAAGGGTAAAAAAGCAGCTGGCTCAAAGTGCTCTGCGAACAAGGTCGGCTGCGTGGAACAAGTGCGACGGCAGACAATTGTCATACCAAATGGCCATAGTCTACCCGTCCACCCGTCCACCCACCCAGCCGCCCGAGTACGCATAGTTTGAATACTCGCGACCCCGCGATTGAAATCGCATCGGCCACTTTGGCCACCAACGACTCGTCTACACAGTGTCGACCATTGCGGCCTAATGGTTCGTTTTTTCTCCCACTGACGACCGATACGCCATAGAAACGCGTCCGACAAGGGGGTGTTTCGCACGACCCGATTGGTGTATATTCGCAGCCAATCACGACGAACTGGCTCGACCGACGGGACGCGAGACATTGGCGAGCATACAAAGGCGGACTGGTCGGTCGGTCGTTCAGCCAATCGTCAGGGAAAGGAAGAAGAACAGCCAGAGGACGAAGCAGAGCGAGCGTCGACGCCGCTGCCCGCTCTCCCGAGTCATTCGCCCGTGTGCCAGACAGCAGGTACCTCAGGGGGATACCGACTGAGTACAGAACTGCTCTTCCATCACACGCCCCACACAACTCCTTCAGCAGTCAAACGTCATGGCAAAGCGCGTTCGAGTGGCCAAACAGGGAGCCGCAGATTTGACCCCTACCGATGTCCCAGACGTCGCCAAGGCGCTGCCAGTGCCACTGGACGCACCGTCGAAGAGCAAGACGGCCGGACTTGCAAGCATCGAAGGGAAGCACGTGATGCTGCCCGCCTTCTTGTCCAAGACGTACGAGATCTTTAGTATGCCGGAGTTCTCGCACGTCTGCGGCTGGAACGCCACGGGCGATACGATCATTGTGGCCCAGCTCGAGACGTTCGTGGCAATGGTGCTCCCGCGCTTTTTCAAGCACCGGAATTTCCCGTCGTTTGTGCGCCAGCTCAACCTCTACGGCTTCCATAAGACGGTGCTGGACTCGAAGCGGCTGGAGTTCCAGCACCCTTACTTCAAGCGCGGTCGACCTGACTTGCTGCACCTGATTAAGCGCAAGGTCTCCAATCACAGTAACCACCACAGTCAGCAGCAGATTGTCAGCACGTCCATCCAGGTGCGGCGTGCAGAGAGGCCAGTCGTCTGACTTACTGACTGATTGACTGGATGGAGCGAGATGGTGACGAGGGTCTTATACTTTGCGTGATTGTGAGCAGAACTCGCGACTGGATGCGCACCGAGAGATTTCGGATACACTGCTGCGGGAGATGAAGGAGCTGCGTCAACGTGGTGATGCCATGGAGAAACGTTTGCGCGAGGTGGAGGTCGACAATGCGGTACGGATGTTTGGCATGACGTAGTGTGGTCTATATATGTGGACACGATAGATGCCTGTGTTTGACACGTTGTTGCTGAACCAGATTGTGCGCAGCGATAATGTGAAGTTGTGGAAGCATCTTGAAGCAGCAAAGGATAAGCAGTTGGTCATGCAAGAAAAAATGAAGAAGATCATGTGGATCTTGTTCCAGATCTACCGCGGAAAACAGCAGAATCTTCCCCAACTGTCTAGCAACGACGCAGCTGGCGCTTTCATCAGCGAAGAGTGAGTGCCGTAGGCATGCGATCGTAGCACCGTGCATATTTGCGACTGTGATGTGCCACTAACCGAATGGCTGCTGTGTATGATGATTCATTGCGCTTGCTTCGCGTCGGCTTTGTTCTTTTGTTATTGACAGCTACTCGAACGGTAGTATGCTTGGGCCGAAAGAGTTTCGAGATGTACTGCGTTTTCTAGCGATGGATGAACCCCCGATGTTGCCGGAATCGTCTCCTGAAGTTGCGACGTCTACGTCAAGCGCACGGAAGCGAAAGTTCGTCGAGGTACCATCTGATGTCGGCGACGTATTCTCGACACCGGATGGCGCATATAAATTGCGTACGTTTGTTTGTCTTTTGTGATGGCATATGTCGTGAACGTGAGAATTAACTGTATGCGATTTGGCAGCGAAAGGATTGTCTACTGTTCTCGAAGTGCCGAACCCTTTGGGTGACCCGAACCTGTTCGCGATGTCGTTGCCATCCAGCACGCCTCCTTCTTTGCACTCAGATGAAGAACAGAATAACGTGCTGAGCATTTTCTCGCCGCTCAATGCTCTGAGCAGTAGCTCGGGTCATGTTGATGCTGTGCCGGGCATGCACCCTAAAGATGGAGCAGCCGTCACTACGAGCACGCCGGTATCGACTGCGTCGACGCCTTCTGTATCGACACCGCCGGTGACTGCGACGACGGCACCGATCGAGTCGACTCCACATGGAAGTACGCTTGCTGTGGGTAACACAAGCGATTTGCTTCGCGGGACCGCTGCCGCTTCCGACAGCACATCAGTCGCAGACGTGAACAATCAATTGGCGTTTCTGGATGACGACCTCCCTCTATTGCCTGACTCCGACCACTACAATTTCACGGAAGGCGAGCAGGTAGTTGAGCCCGTCCAATGGTCTTGTCTGCTTTGATAGTTGCTTTCTTATGAGTGGATCATTGACAATTTGTGCTTTGCGGCGTATTAGCAGGCAGTAATGAAGAAACTCGAGGACTTTGAGACGTCGCTGTTGGACGAATACGACGTCAGCTGCCTCGACACACTGTTGCAGCAGCTGAAAAGCGGTGGTGGAGTCAAACTGTCCGGCGTTTCTGTGCCGGATTCAGAAGAGGTGGTCGTCGGCCCAACGAATTCGTCGCCACAGGATGCGTAGAGCCACGATATGGGTGAAACCGACCACGACATTGAACAGCCGTGCGTGTGTTGCGCTGGCGAAGGTGTTGACGCCGACGCACTGCTGAAGAGTTGCATATTCAAGTACATGTCGAGCGCGCTCCCGCTCTCCACCTGTTGTTGCTACTGGTAGGGGTTGCACAGTACACTTCCCAGGAGAATGACAAGCAGTTGCGCGCCTTTTTGTCCGGACAGTAGACAGACGAAGATTCTGAGACAGTGAGGACATTGCGACGCAAGGCCAAGAGAGGCGGAGACGGAATGAGTAGCCAACAGATGAGGCGATAGACATTTTACGGAGTGCTCCGAACGATGACGAACGCATGCGTGTGCATGGCTATTTTTTATTTATGCAACGATTATGCGTGAGCATAGAGGGGCGTCGACAGTTCTTCGAGGGGCTCGTTTACATGCCTCCCTTGAACTTTTTACTCTTGAGGCTAGCGGAGTTTCGCTACCACTAGAGGGGTGCCTTGATCCACCGCCGCGACCGGCGCTGTATTCTAGGCTTAGAAGATTTCAGACTTCTAGCGCGTAACCATCATGTGCAATAGATAGTCATGAATCTCTCTCTCTTTATTTATGCAACGACCACCCACCAAGAAAAAATGAGAGAGTGGTCAGATACTCTTTCGTGTTCTCTCCTGTTCCCTTCATCGTCTCATAGCCGGTCCTTGCTCTTCCAATTGACTTCTCAGCCGTTGGATCTCCTTGTCCTTACGTCCGAGTTCCAGTTGCGCCGTGGCAAAGAGTGTCGAGATGTTGATCTCCAGTTGCTTGTGCGCGGCGCCTAATTGACGATTTTGTGCCTGCAATTGAGCCAACTCGCGGCGTAGTCGCGCGTTTTCCTGCTCGACTTGCGTCTTTTGTTGTACTGCTTCTCTCTTCTCGAGCGCGCTCGTGGACGTGTCCAAGTCTCCGTATAGGTCCTCCATGGCCAATTGCGATACTGGTCGATCGACAAACAAACGTCCAGTTGTTATTCGCTCGATTCAAAGAGCATCGAGGGATTTTGTGCCTTTCGAGTGCAATCGACTCTTGATGGAGAAATGACGGTCAGGTGCTCGTGCTCGTGTGACTGATTTGCACTCATTCGTTGCGGTTGGGATGAGCCAACTGCAGCGCATAGTTTTCTCCAGCGGACGATGTGCAGAGGACCAGTGACGCTGCACGCAAACGTCCATTACACAGTGTAAGGCATTGCGTAGGACCAGGCGATAGTTGGAGGCAGTCTACTGTCAGTTGCGTAAGCAACGTGTCCGACGTGGAAGGGCGATCAGGTCGATATTGCGACGGCGCATGCGACAGTGCGACACTTAGGCAGCATGAAGACGACCGAAGCGATACAGCAAGAGAGTAACATGGATAATAAAGTCGTCACTAGACACAGTTTAGACCTGCATCGTCCGTCTGTCCGTCGGTCCGTCTTCGTCGTGGGCAACTAACTGCAACAGGCAGATGCCTGCACGCACGCTCAGAACGGACTAGCAGCTGCGCCCGTCTTATTGCGGCTCTCGTACCACGCCTTGGAGATCGTACTCTTCATCTCGTCGTCCCCTTCGTCGTACATGTTCTGTCCAGTCAGTACACATCAAACGTGAGTCAGTTACAGGTTCTCGACTCCTCCATCCCCCAACGTTTCCACCCGCACCTTCATCATGTCCATGATACTCGCACTCGGGTCACTTGTGTCGGGTTTGCTCGTCTTGAGCGGATTCTTGGCCGTGAGGTTCGTCCACATTGCGTTCTTGTCCACCTTGTGCAACGAAATGGCCACGCGATTCTTCTTGACGCGGAACGAGCTCTTCGTCGGGTCGATCTCCTTGTCCAAGGGCTGCTTGAACAACCTGCACAAGCCACCACCGCGTCAGTCCACGTCCCGTCTCCCTTGCAAGTGAAAAAAAGACGCACTACTACTACAGCTACGACGACGACGACGACGATTTCAACTACAACTACAAGTAGTACTACTGGTTCCACTACTCCAAGTTTCAGTACGACTGTATTTCTACGTCCCCACCGATAGTTCTTGCCGTTCAGCCCGAGAATCTGCCCACGTAACAACAACCAGTCACTCATCAGACGTGCCCCTCATGCGACCACTTGGATCGCAGCCAACCGTTGCACCTCCTCTACCTTCAAGTCAAACGACGTCTTGGTAAAGTCGCACGTGACGTTCTCCTTGGGCACGAGGCCCACGCCATCGATCCCCGACATGACGTAGACCGCCACCTTATCTTTGCCGTACCCCTCGTCCTCCCAGCCGAAGCGACCGATCTCCGAGAACGTCGCGACGTCACCACCGACGGTCGTGACGGGAGCCAGTACCGTCTGTGGCGGTGGTGATACCACCTCGACGACCTCGAGCGCCTTTTGCTTGCGATGCAGGAGCTGCTCCAGATCGCGCCGGTTGCCGGCAGTTTTGGCTTGCGCCAGCAGCGTCTGCAGTTCGGCGACTTCGTCTGCGTGAATTGCCATAGCGGGAGAAGGTGTCGAGAAAATTCAAGTTTGAGCGACTGCTGTGGATGGAGCGGGCGCCGAGTGCGAATAGTGAGCAAAGTACGTTCCAGAACGTTCCATTGGTAGACACCGCTCGCCTTTTGCTTGTGCGTAGAGCTACAAGATACAGTACCACACGCGGACGATGCGGTCGGAACCGAAGCTACGCAAATGCGTTCAAGAGCAAAGTAAGGAATCGAGACGACGTCATGCGCGCAAGTTTTAATCATTTAAAGGACTCGAGGCCGCCTCTGTTCGTGCATTCCAATGCAAACCTCTTGTACCTGTTTGCTGCTCTTTCCATCAACTCCAACTGCCCTTCGACTGTGCTCGTAAGTCCGACCATCATACACAGTGCCACATCTTTCAGCGCACTTCTAGGGGTTGTTCCAACGAGCATGCGCGGGTCGACATAGGCTCTAGGGATAGAGTCGAGGTTGTCGCTACTTCATTACTCGTCTTACGACAGTCGAACATGGTTGTCATGCCGGCTACGACATACGTCACCTCTGTAAGCGAAGGGGGGGTCTTTGCGCGGCAAAGTCGTAGCTGGAAGCTACCGAAGTGGGTGGCAATTGCGACAAGTTCACGTGCCTCAGGCGCGTGACGGCGTTTGCTGCGCAATGACTCGGCGGTTTCGCACGCCCACGCATTCTGTGAAGACCACTTGGCGAGACGCAAGACCAGTCCAACCATGAGCTCAGGATGCATCCGAAAACGACACTCTGGAGACTATTAGAACCAGATCGTCTACATGAATGTCATCAAGAAGGCCGACTTCATGGGAACACTTTTCCCGTGTGCTTGGGCAAGGAAGAACTTAGATGGACTTGGTAGCGTAGGCTTGTTGCATGACATTAACAATTATGAAAAGTCAATGTGAGTATAACCTTACCTAATATCGTTCATGATATGAGATCTGAACGAATAGAATCCGACATGTGTGCTCTGAAGGGTGATGTTTTAAGGTTTTACCTCTAACTATAATATAGAAGTTATACCTCTGACAGTAATAGTATACGACTTTTACCTCTGAAAGTAATATCGAGATTAGTAATAAATGTCCACCAGTGATTGCTAACGCACCGTGTTCCGGCTAACATGGACCATCGTATAAGCCAATATGTCTTCCATGATTAATGACGCGTGCAATGAATTGTGCACAATGTTAATTCATAGCTTTGGTGTACAGACACAATCTTCACAGGTTCACATTCAATTGTACCGAATGACGTTGACTAACGATCACGGATCTTTGATATTATAACGATGCGTTGTAGTGCAGTCGATTTACGGTTTCTTTAACAAAAATAGCGTACGTGAGACAGCGGGGCACCGATCAATACTGTCGTCTGTAACGGGGTGAACATTTACATCAAATCTACATTCGCACATGTCAATCAAGAATGATATTTACCTGGATATTATTCGCGATACATACCTCAGCGGGTGATGATCAAGAATCTCTCCGCATCTGTTAATGTGATAGAATTACCCAACAAGGCCTACAAAAAATATTGGTGCCCGCAATGGAAGGTCATCAGCGATACTGTATACAAGCATCTTCCATCACCCATGTTTAGGTTAGTATGGAAAGACTTCTGACAAAACAACGTACTATGTCAAGACTCTTCTACTACCATTCAATATAGATTTGTGATAGTCATTTATATCGCTACCTCATATTCGACGAGTGCATGTAAGTATTGTGGCATCTCCTTACACTGCTTAACGTGTACGATAATTTTTACCGTAGATCGGTATAGTCCGCGGTGCCTCGGTACACCTGATTGTAATGCGTAGTCCGTAAATTGGCCACATACCTTCCCACTATGAATGAAATGGTAAAGTACAGCTTTCATGCCACGCCAAGAGCTTATTTTAGCGATGTCAGATAGGTAGCGGTCGAACACATGGTTTGGACTGAAAGTGGTCCGACCAGCAGCGCCATGCTGTATGCCTCGAAAATGACGAGCAGCATGCCTCTATAGTCAGTTTCATGCAACTTGAACTCGATATGACCAAAGAAAAGGTACCTTCTAACATAAAAGGCTCTTAACAGATAAGCTGTCGAGGTAGAAACGTGATTATCACTTTGAGCTGTTCATACAACTGTGCAGAAGCGCAGATGAATAATGATGGAAAGTGTGGATTTCGTCTACCGCAATAAGTGCGAGATCGATTTGATTGGCGGAGTGCGTTCGGAGATAGGCCCATTGGCACGAATGATGGGATCAAACGACTGAGTGACAGAAAACAACAGTGAAAATTATGCGGATTGGTCTACCTAACGGCCAAGAAGGAGTATAGTCAAGGATCGACGACTTACCGATCACGATCCGCGATCAAGGGCTTGGATCACCAAGCTACAAGGACCGGATCGCTCAAGGGGTGAACATCAACTGGAGTACTGGATCGCTAACGACAATGGAAGATAGGTAAACATGGAAACGAGCTGGAGGAGTGGATCGTCAAGATCATCGAACATGCGAGGTCTCAGAAGTAACGGCGATTCGACGGTGGATGCCTGATCAGAGACTCGAGAGATTGATCACGATCCACCCTGGGTGTGTAATGCTTGATTGTGTCGACACATGAATGTGCGGACACATAATTGGTGTGTACCACATTCCGCGATCCACTACCCAAGCGATCCACCACGGAGCAATCCACCACCAAGCGATCCACTACGGAATATCTGCTGTGGATCACATGATGCACGAGGTGGATTACATCGACAGGCGATACGCAGTAGTGATCCAGAGAACAGATAGGCATATTCATATGTTCTGGATTTGGTTGGTTGACATTAAAAAGAATTGAGGTTGCAACGAAAGACACGCGTCAACTTCTCCCGGGCAGGAAGTTTGGTCTCCCGTCGAGTTGGGAGTGGCCTGTGTCGATCCAAACGTCGCCTTTGGATTGTTTGGCCAGACGGAACATCAGTTCTTACCCCCCCAACTGCGATCAAACGCAGGAAACTTAACGGTTAAGTTTCAAGATCGCGAGACGGCCCAAGTGGTCAGAAGGCTCGCGGATCAAGCATCACCTTTGGATACAGGCGACTATGGGAGAGCGCCCAAGTGTACTTGCGATCTAGTGAACAATTTACTCGCGATCCCCCCCACGTTTGACCGGGTGATGAGTTTCCACCCGATCAACCCCTATCCCCAAAACGATCAAGTTCAGCTTCAACTCAAGTCCACCAAGAAGAGCGCATCCCGCACCACCGACGGGTACACAAGGTGAGAAAGAATACACCGAGAACGGAATCGGGGTACCCCCTCCGTTAGTCGGTCGTCCGGGCTCCAGTGGAGATTCGGGATCACAAGGAATTTGTGATCACACTCCATCACAATGGTGCGCGATCCCGGATCTTCTGGTGACTCGGGATTTCACTGTGAGTCCCTGAGAGAAGAAGGCAGCCTAAAGACTGAACCTGGGATAGAAGAACCAGCGAAAAAGGGATCGTCGCAGACGCGTGAGAATGAAGGATCTACAGATCGTCAAAGTTTTGGGAGGGGGTTTGACGATAAGAAAATAAAAGAGGAAGATCGGTCGCACGGTCTTGAAGAAAAACCTCAACCCCCTCATGAGGTATCTTTGGGGGCCACTGCAGATCGCGCTGCAAAGTACGATCTGTAGGATGAAAATCTTAGGGGAGTCCCCAAAATATTTTCATTCATATCGGACGAACCATCAGAAATGACAAAGAAAGAAGTGAAGAGTTCGGACGAATTTAAGAAGCTGGCTGCGGTGATAAAAGATAGAGACCTCTACAAAATCAGGCAAGACGGAGAAAAGTTCAAGACGGAGAAGATGGATCAAGCCTCACATTCAGTGGATCTTGAAGTGAAGTTTGAAGATTAGCGATTAGACGACATCAGTCAGGACTACCATTTAAAGAAGCTGAAGAAGCTGTTGTCGAGTGGTGCAGTGCTGAAGACGATCAATCCAAAGCTGACCGGATCGCTACGCGAACCGATATCAGAACCCAAACCAACTCCCAACGTGTTAGAGGCGCTGCGGTATTTAATTAACCTACTAACTGAGGCGGGGTTCACTACTGAAACGTTCAATGCGCAAACGCTACTAGAGTGACAACACGATCGAGTGATCGCTGCCGGACAGTCGCTGTTTAACAGGTTGAGTCCACTCATTGTCATACTTGACCCTGGAGACAACCCGACCCCGCCGATCGACACCACGGATCAACGGACCACGTTGCGAGTCACGATAAGTCAAGTTCTCACGCCGATCAACGATTTCTCCAAGGATGAACACACTGGATCGTTCCGTTATGATTCAGATGAGTCGGAAGAGGACTCGAATAATTCGTTCGAGATCCAACGGATGTCGCCAGGACCAAGGGGCGCGGATATATTGCGGAAGAAATTTGAACGGAACAAGGCAGAGGCGCAAGCGGGAAAGCCACCGGCGACGCAGTTCATTCATGAACATGGTGTAATCAGACCAGGTTAATTCCTATTTTCGAACATCCATGAGGAAATATGAGCTAGAACTAAGCCCGTATAAACGCTGGACGATCAGCTATTCACCCACCCGAAACGGAGATTGATATGCCAGATGTAAACATGGAGTCGGTTGGATCGCGTCTTAGTAGATCGCACGACCATGATCTTGCGCGCCGGGACCGAGGTAATAAGAGATTACCACAGGTGACGACGGCAGGAACATCGGATGGTGGTGGTTTCTCTAACCAAAGGATTCGGATGTCTACCATGGACGAACGGAAAGAGTTTGCCGGACGGGAGAAGAATGAAGAACGAGCGAGAAAATGGATCAGTAAGGTGAAGTTAGCGTTCCCACGCGATCAGGCGCCTGGTGCGGAGAAGTGCCTGGTGTTCAGCAATCTTCTTACAAGACTGGCGCGTGATTGGTATAAACAGCTCAGTCTCTCGACGCGGACTTCGTGGAAGGCGCCCCTGGAAGGCTCCGTGGTCAAATACGGAGGGAAG